TTACATCTGTATCCTCCCACCAGCCTGCCACTCCCACCCCAGATCACATCCTGGAACTCCGGCACCTAATGCTCCATAGCCTGGGGTCCCTCTGTCACATCCTTTCATTGTCTGTCCCCCAGTGGACTTCGAGCTCCTTGGGGCCACATTGGGCCTGTCCCAGAGATGGTGTGGACACACAGTTGCTGAGGAGATGGCTGCTTTGCCCCCTGGCAGACAAGTGAAGGCCCCAGAGGTGGGCTGGCACGCTTCACTCAGACCCACGTGGATACCTCCCTGCCCCTGCCACACCCAGCCCTCCCGAGGCAGGGGCCATCTTTCTCCATCCTGGGCGTGGCCGGTGCCACAGACAGATGAAGTCACGTCTCATCTCCAGCACGTCCCCAGCACAGGGTCCCCAGCATAGGGACGACTGGTTAGAGACTCAGTGAGGGCAGAGCAGGGTGAGAGGCAGAGCAGGGCGGGGCCTGTCTGCCAACAGGAGGCGCCTTTTCTGCTGGGCCAGGGGCTGTGGTCCGTCCTGACTGGGGTCCTGGGGGCTGGCTGGCTTGGCTGACCCCTCTAGCCTCTCTGTCCCTTGTGCCCATCCTTGGCTTAGTCTCACCCTCCCCTCCCTGTGGACACTCCTGGTCCATAAGTGGCCAACTGGCTGGGATGCCCAGAGCGTTTCTCTGGGAACCAGCCCCGGGGGAGGGGTGTGTGCTCAGCTGCCTGGCTCTGTTGCTAGGTGAGCGGCGGGCTTGGTGCCACTGCCCCACTCAGGAAGCCCCTCGGCACCTCTGCCTGCTGGGCGGCTTGGGGGCTCATGGCCCAAGCATGGAGCACAGCCCCCAAGCCTTACCCCTGCGTGGGCCTCTTGGACAGTCCCTGCAGCCCAGCAGGACCTGGCACAGTACATGGTTCAGGCTTGGGTTCCCCCTCACCCCTCCACCCCCACGGCCTCCACCCCCACACTCAGGTGTCCGGCCAGGCATTGAATTGCAAGGCTGGTTTTGTAACTTTATGTGGCGGTTTTAGGTTCTGCATTGTGTTGGCTCTGGGCTGCTGAGGGCAGGGAGGGGCTGGGGTCTTACCTGGCTGTGGGCTGGGGCTCCTTAGACCCATACTCCATGTGGACCTGACCTGGGTCGGCTGTGGGGTGTAGGGTGAGCCGTGGGAGCCATGGTGGAAGTGATGCGGGGGACTCCGGGGTGACAGGGCAGCCCTAGGGCTCAGGGCCAGTGCCTGGGAGCAGGTGCCCGGCCAGCACGGAGGGGAGGGAGCGGCCCAGCCACTGTGCAGCGGAATGGAGGCCAGGACCAAGACTGGTGGGGAAGCCTAGGGCGGTGGGTTCGTGGATGTGCCAGGCATGCTGGGCACAGACATCGTCAGATGGGGGCTGCAGACCCCCGCCCAAACCCAGGCTTGCTTGCTGGCNCTGCGGACCCCCGCCCAAACCCAGGCTTGCTTGCTGGCTGCAGGCAGGTAGATTGNGCTGCAGACCCCCGCCCAAACCCAGGCTTGCTTGCTGGCTGCAGGCAGGTAGATTGGGGCTCAGGGACATGAACCTGCTTTTGCTTGCTCATCGCTGGAAGGGGAGAGGTGCTGGGGACTCAGGGACCACCCAGAGCGGAAGGTTCCAAGTGTCACTTTTCTCTCTTCCTGAAAGAAGCCTGTGAAGCTGAGCTGCTCTGGCGGCAGCTGTGGGGCTTGTGCGTGTCATGGGGGCGGCCATTCAGGTCCTATCCTCGGCTCTTCCTCAGCAGGGACTCTGCTGGTGGGCCCGGGTCTGGCTCAGGGTCCCTCAGTGAGCGGGTGTCAGGAAGGGGGCAGCTGCGTGGTGCTGGGGCCTTGGCCCTGCTGGTGCATCGTGAGCCTGCCTGCCCTCGCCTGGCCCCCGACCTGTAATCGGCACAAGCAGCCTGGAGCCGGCGGTGTCATCAGAGCATCTCCGGGGTCAGGGATGGGGCTCCTGCTGCCCCTGCCACCTGCTCTGCCCTCACTTGGCCTTGAGGGTGGGCGGTGTCGCTGGCCCTGGAGGAGGGCGCTGGTGTTCTAGGCCACACAGGAGAAATAAGAGATGGAGAGACAGTGAGAGGAGGATTTCCCGGTGGCATGTCACACCTGGCCTGCCTTTGGATTCCTGGGGGCTCAGATGGCACATAAAGGTCCTCAGACCACTTCCTGCCTCCCAGGCTCTGTTTGCTCACCTGCACAATGGACCCTCAGTGTGAAAGTGATCACCTGCTGTGTGCGTGGCCCCGGGGGTGCGGGGGGACCTGGCAGAGGCTTGCCCTCAGGGAGCTCGCTGTCCAGCCTCACTTTCATCCCTGCCTGACCACCCCCTTGTCCCACCCAGCAGGACTCAAGTGCACAAGGGGGCTGCTGGAGGACAGCAGAGGTGGGGAGAGCCCATGGCCAGGACCTGGCCCACGGTGGCCCAGGGAAGATGGGATTTACTTAGCCTTCGTCCTCTTGGCCTCCTGCGAGTCGTGGCTCGGCCCAGGCGTGGCCTCCTGCCAGTAGACTTTCCTTCCCCCCCCCCAAGTGGCGTGGCCCTTCTGAGCTTTCAGCCCCATGGGCTGCCCACACTTGCGGATAGTTTTTGGGCCCCTCCTTTGGGAAGCCTGGCCCCCGCCCCTGCTGGACTGTCAGCTACTTGAGGACTAGGCTGCAGTGTCTGAGTGGTCAGAGCTGCTTCTTTAAGGCTCAGTGTAGGTAGACTGAGCGGATGCACCTTGGGGAACCCCTGGCTGCGCCCCCACCCAGACTCCTAGGCCAAGAGGGGAGGTCGGTTCTTGCCCAGACTAGGGAAGGTCTGCTTAACCAAGGGAGAGCTGCTTGTAAGGTAGTGAGTGTATCATCTCTGGAGGCAATTAAGTGAAGGATGTCTGACTATGTTTGGGAAGCTTGAAGAAACTGCTGCTGTTGGGGGGGATTCTGGCCTTGACCTCATGAGCCCTGGCCTCTGAGATTTTATGATTCTGGCCCTTCCGTCCTGTCACTGAAATCAAATTGCACAGAAATCCCCAGCTCTGCAAAGTGAGGAATCCGCCTGTTGGCAGGGCGCCGGGGAGAGCAATATTATTCTTTGAACTATCTTAAGGGGATGTGGCTTTGGGGTTTGAGTGGGAGGGCAGAGGGCCTCTGTGGATCCCCACTTCCCACTGCCCCACCCCTCCCCCCATGGCCTCCATTTAACTCCGAAATAGCTTTAATTAAAAATGTGCGGAGTGCTCACAGACTAAATGACTGGATTGCAGCGCGTATTTTCTCTCTCTTGTCAGCTTTAAAATTTCATCAACACAGCTGCTTCCTCTGCGATGATTCCGCACGAGCCCCGCTCACGCTGTGTTCCCTGTGGCTTCTCTGTGCCCAGCCGTGCTGGGCTGGGGGGGCTGTAATTGACGCTGGGCCTGTGCGCCCCCCTTCCCTCCGTTAAGTCCCCTGCTGGGCTGATAAATGAAGCCTCTGTGCGTCCAGAAGCCAGCTTCACAAAAGTGCAAGAAGCTCGTGGTGCCATCTCACGCTGGGCGAGCAGGCGGCCATCTGGGGGAGCGCAGGCAGTGGGCCAGGCCTGGACTCAACGGCCCCCAGCCTGCCTGCCCCCTTCCTTACCCCCGCGTCCCCATCGCGCCGTGCCGCTCAGGGTGGCTGAGCACTCAGGTTGGAAGTGACCCCAGAATTTATACCAAGCACAGATGGGGAAACAGAGGCCTGGGTGGAGCAGGTTTCCAGGCATGGGTGATTGTATTAGTCTGCTAGGGCTGCTGTAACAAAAGAACCACGCACCAGGCTATTTAAATAAGTGAAACACGTTGTCTCATGGTTCTGGGGGCCAGAAGTTCAAGATCAAGGCAGGGATGGTGCCTTCTGAGGGCCCTGAGGGAGGGTCTGTCCCAGGCCTCTCTCTTTGGCTTGCAGATGTCCGTCTTCTGCCTGTGTCTCTACGAGGTCTTCCCTCTGTGCGTGTCTGTGTCCCAGTTTCTCCTTTTTATGAGATCACCAGTGATATTGGATCAGGGCCCACCCACCCTGATGACGTCACTTTAACGTGATCGCCTCTATAAAGCCCCATCTCCAAATAGGTCACATTCTGAGGTCCTAGGAATTAGGACATCAACGTAGGAATTAGGGGGACTCAGTTCAGCCTGCAGCTGTGCTGCTGTTGGCCTGATGCCTTGGGCCCTGGGAGAATCCCTGAGCAGCTCTCACCCGCCATGTGTCTTAGGCAAAATCCTGACTCTTCCAGTGCCACAGTTTCCTCACCTGTAAGATGGGGATAAGGGTGAGGCCACTACATTGCTTGCCACACTGACCGGAACCCTGCACCTGGGGGACACCTTGGGCAGTGGCTCACCTTCTCACCTTCTCCTGGTCCTAAGACCTGGGATAGTTCAAGGTCAGACAGACCGTGCCACCTGGCCTGTGGCTGGGACCTTCCTGTCCCCGAATGAACTGCTCCTCTGTCCTCTGAGTTTTGAACCATGCAGGCTGGGGGAGCGGGGGCTGCTCTGCCACCACCTGAGCCCGTCCCTGACACCTCTGTTCTGTTCCCTGAGTCCCTGAGGACTGGCTGTTCTGGCTGGTAGGGCCCCTCGCCCAGGCCCTCTGGAGATGCTGGCCCCCTTGGCGGTTCTGCAGTGGCAGCTCTGCTCACCCGGGTCTCCTGTGAGATTTTGCCTTGTCAGTAGGCTCTGGGCCATTCCCGCTCCGCCCGCTTGGTGTTTGGGGTCGGCCGTCCCACCCTCACCCCCTTTGCCGAGGGCGGGGGTCTCTTTAAATGCATTAGAACATCAGAGCTGGTCCCGCCCCCCCTCAGCCAGGGAGGAATCCCCTCCTTCTGCATCTGAGCAGATGGTCAGTCTAGCAACAGGGGCAGGAAGAGTAGGAATTTCACCTTTTTGCTGGAGGCTTAACTGGCGTCCACCGTGAGCCACGCCACGGTGGGTGAGAGTCAGCATAACAAGAGGCCATGCGCAGAATTATAAAAGCCAGAGTCAGGTTCAAATCCCCAAAGTGCCCCTTACCAGCTGGGTGGCCTGGGGCCAGCGGCTTAACTTCTCTGTGCCTCCGTTTTCCCATCTCCAAAATGGGGACACTTGAGGTGCCTTCCCCAGGAGTAAAGGGCAAATCATGGAAAACACTAGGGCTGTGGGTCAGCCACTGTGATCTCACCTGTGGGCCATCTGGCAGCTGTGTGTCCTTCTTGACCCCAGTTTATGTGCAAGCAAACAGAGGCCCTGAAAGTTGGAGGTCCTGCAGCCTGCCGAGGGGTGACAGTCACTGTGATGGATGAGACCTTGCCTGCATGCTACCCATCAGTCACAGGCCTCGGGCAGTACACACACCGACAGACCTGGGACGTGGGGCCTGTCGGGGAGCAGGGAGCAGGGAGCTGGGCCAGCGTGGGCAGTGATGTGGGCCTCTCACTAACCGCACGTGGGCTCCCTGCTGGCCTGAGCGCTTATTAGAACACTCTGGACCCCCAGCCAGGTTCTGAATGGCCTGCAAATGTGCTCTCTTAAAATTAAAGAAAAAATTAAAGTGAATCTGGTTGGTTGTCTGCTCCTGCGAGGGGCCCAAGGAAGAGAGAGACCAGGAGGGGCTGTGTCCCGACCTGGCCTCTCCAAGCTGGCTGGGGGCTGGGGGTGTCTGCAGGCCTGTGCACCCCACCTGGCCTCTCAGAAGGGCTGCTTTTCTCCCGAAGGGCAGCTGTCCTCTGGTGGGAGTCTCGAGGAGAGCTGTATAGGGGTGTGTCTGGTGCCAGGGTATGGCAGACACTGGCAGTCCTTGTTACATATGTGGGGCTCCTGTGAGGTGCCTTGGGGACCCCCCATCCCCACCGTGGCCTGGGAAAACCACTCCAGCCAAGCTGAGGTCCTGGGGGCTTTGGGCTAATGGGTGCCCAGGGTAGGGGACAGAGGTGAGGGGCCTGGCTGGTGTGTGCTGGGTGACACTGCATCTCTTCCCTTCCAGCTGCCCCACCCCCACGTCCACCTGAGGAGCCAGCTGCAGGTAGAGCTGCCAGGCGGGTGGACTTGTGTGCCGTGCTGTGTGGGATGGGGCGGGCACTGCTTTGCGTGCTGTGTGGTGCCCTGTCTGCTCTGGGTCCCCTCACTTTGGTCCCCTCCTGGCCCTTCTCACTACTTTCACTGGACCCACCCTGCATGTGAGGTCACAGGGCTAGTCACTGTCCACCCACTCTGCAGTGAGAGCCCCTTGGGAGGGGTTCGCCAAGGCCGCATGAGTTAGTGGTGGCTCCCAGCTGGCCCAGGTCCCTGGGCAAGGTCCTGGGGAGGTGGCGGGTATCCTGCCCATGGCCTGTTCTGACAGTGCTCCCAGGTGTATGGGGCGGGGCACCCCCAAGGGGGTTCCTGCAGCTTTGCCAGCAGGAGCCCTGGCAGGTGGGGGCTAGGGGCACAGCTGTAGCCCCACGGAGGCTCAGGGAGCCTGGGGTGGCCCAAGTTCACACAGAGGGCAGCGTTGCAGTGACAGCCCTGGACAGAGCCCCGGTGTCCTTTGGACTTGGAGGCCCTGCAGCCTCCTGGTTCTCCCTCCTGGTCCAGAGGCTCCTGCTGCCCTTGGGGGGCACTGGATGGGGCGGGGCTGTGTTTGCAGGCCTGGGTGCCTTCCTCCCCTTTTAAGGATTCAGGAAATCCCGTTCCGCTCCTGCTGTGGGTCAGAGCCCCCTCCTCGCTAGGGGAACTGCAGGCCGGCCCGAGTCCTCCCCTGGGAGCATCATGCCCCTGTCCCCGAGGTGCAGGCCCAGCCGCCTGAAGGCCATTTCAGCTCCCTTCCCCTTAGTGATGAAAACCTGGGGATTTCTTTCTTCCAGGGCACCGCCAGGCAAATACCAGGATTTTAATTTGGATTTAAGTGCAATTACGGTTCTTCATTTCGATGCGTCATTAGTCACGTTGCCCCTAATGAGAGATTGTGCGTTTTCCCACCAGCTCTGAGGCTTGCTAATAAAGTTCTCTGGATGGCAAATATTTACAGAAGATCATTGAAGGCAGGGGTGGAAACTGCGTGCTGCTAATTAAAAAACTCCCCCACCCGGTGCACACACCTCCTCCCAAGGAAACTATTTGGGAGGAGGGAGGAGACACACCAGTGTTTTGAGTAACAACATGCGGGCTGCCTCGAAACGCATTTGGTCCGGGGCCAGAGGAGCTGGGAGGAGGCTCAGCTCAGCTCAGAGCAGGATGTGGACCCGGACGGACGGGGCAGGCTCCAGTGCCTCTTAATGTGATCGGGGGCATGGCTGTCCCATTTTCAGATCCAGGGCGGTGGCCAAGCTCTCCCTGGTGAAACCCGGCCACATTTTGGGGGCCACCACGAGAGGGTGATGGTCAGGAGGAGGGGCTCCCAGACGTGGCTGCTGCACCCTGTCCTGCGCCCTGGCCTGGTCCCTGCCCTGGCTGGCCTCCCCTCCAGGGTTTGTTTGGGTAACTCAATAGCCCCATGATTTATGGGACATTCCCCTGCATATTATCTGCCCAACTGAGTTCCCTCAGTCCTTTGAAGTAGGAAAGGGTGCTTGGGCCAGAAATGCCCTGAGGCTTCTGCTCAGCTGGACCAGAGGCCCTTTGTGGGATTGAGCATGACCCTTGGGTTCTCTCCCTCTACTGGTCCCAGCCCCCAGCCCTGTGGGGAGGGGTGGGGGGTTGCTTTGCCCTGAAAGACTACATAAGGCCAGATATGTGTGTTCATTCATTTGTTCACTCATTACACACTCAATCACCCCTCTCCCTCCTAAGCACACACTGGCATCAGTGATGAGCCCAGCTTGCACCGGTTGCCGTGGATACAGAGGGGTGAGACCCAGGGCCCACGTTTGGGAGCTTCTGTGCAGTGGTGGAGGCCAGCGGGTGCCCTGAGCAGAGCATTGAGGAGGGGTCACCCTGCAGCGAGCCCAGCACCTGTGGGAGGCAGGACTTCCTGTGGATTCTGGCCTGAAGAGGGGGTGCCAAGGGTGTGGGGAACCCAGGGATGGGATGCTGGAGCAGAGGAGCGAAGGCCGAGGGGTGGGAGAGCCGTGGCCCATTCACTCACCCACTTACCTGTTTATTCAGCTGCTCAACAAACGTGTGTGAAGCACACAGTGGGGAGAAAGTGGAGCCCCTGCAAGGATGGGGTGTAAAGGGCCACATTGGGTGAGGGGAGGTGTGGCCGGGGCCCCCAGGCAGGTGCCCAGAGCAGACCAGAGCCATGGGGAGGGGGCACATCCTCAGACCCCTCCACCCCGCTCCTCACGTCTAACCTCTCCCCCCCTCCCCTGCAGCAGGCAGGCTCCTCATGTCTAACCTCTCCCCCCCTCTCCCCTGCAGCAGGCAGGCTCCTCATGTCTAACCTCTGCCCCCCTCTCCCCTGCAGCAGGCAGGCTCGGGAGAGTTCCGGACGCTGCGGAAAGGCTTCTCCCCATACCACTCGGAGTCCCAGCTCTCCAGCCTGCCCCCCTCCTACCAGGACGCCCTGCAGAATGTAAGTGCTGCTCCTCCAAGAGCCCCACTGCCCCCCTTTTGGACCTGACCAAAATCTGGAATCCTCGGTTCACATTCCATTGGAGGGGGGCGGCTCAGACTGGCTAGGGACCTGCGGGGCCCATGGACAGACTGGCCGAGCATGGTCGGGAGGGCAGCGGTCAAGGCTTGGACTTCTTTCTAGCAAGGGGCCTGGGCTCCCGGGCCCTCGGGGCTTGGTCAGGGCCCAGTGTGGTGGTTGGAGGTGAAGGCCCAGCTCGGGGTGACGTGTCTGGAGGCCACGAGAGCGGCTGCCCAGGCCCAGCCACCATCCCGCGTGCAACTCAGTGGCCTGGGTCACAGTGGGGAGAGATGGGGCTGGTGCTTGGCGTGGGGCTGGGAGGGTCACTGCCCCCGGCTCTAGCTGAGAGCGGGTGTGTGGATTGTGTACCTCAGTTACCCACAGGGCTCCTGGGCTCCGACCAGCCCAGGGTCCACTCACTTCATGAGAAAAGCCAGTGACACCGCATGGGTGGCTCCTCCACTCCTCATCTCCCCGCCCTGCTGTCTGTTCTGAGGGCTAACGGGGATGGACTGCTCTGTCCCCAACCCCTTTTTGACCTGGGGACTGGAAAGTGCCTGACCATATGTGTGTTGCTGTCGCCCCCTCCTGGCTGGTGGGGGGAGTGCAGCCTTCTGCCTCAGGTCATCACCTGTGCGTGGCCTGCCTTCCACGTGCCCCACCATCCCAGAGTTTCCAGATCTTTTTGTTCCCCCACATGACAGACCTGGCCTGGGCACCAGAGGCCAGGCAGCTTGGGCTGGCATTAGTGAAACAGTTTTTGGGCTGTGTCCAGGGCTCTACACACACCCTGGGACACAGGGACCCTTTTTGTTCAGATGAGGAAACTGAGGCACAGAGTGGGTCGGGCCCTGCCTCAAGGCACAGCCAGCAGAGCCTCACCCAGGCCCAGCCATGGGTCCCAGACCCCAAGGCCATGGGTCCCTGCCTCCTTGGAGCCAGCAGTAGGGCGAGCTTGAGAGGCCCCGGCAGCAGGTCCAGGCTGGGCGGGCAGGTGGGGAGAGTGCAGGGGGTTGGCTGCTGGGCAGAAAATTCAGGGCCCTGAGGGTTTCTGCACAGCGTGGCCTGGGTGGGCACGATCCCAGGGCGGTGGCACTCAGCCAAGCCCACCGAGTCTGCCCGGGCCCTGGAGGAGTCATCGGGGCCCATGGACAGGAAGGAAACCAAGACTCAGAGAAGGGCAGGGCCTCGGGGAACCCCAGCTTAGAGGCCTCCTCCCTGCTCCCGTGCTCACATGCTCGCTGGGGTACTCTTGGTGGTCTGTCTGGTTCTCCCTCAGGCCTACTCCCAGCGTCTTCTGAACACCTGGTTCCTATTGGCCCTGGGGGCTTTATCCTTGAGGCCACCTTGTCTGTGAGCTTCTTCATGGGGCCCTGAGCGCAGGGTCCTTCTTGCAGCCTGAGGCAGAAGCCCTGCACCCTGCTCTCTGGCCACTGGGCCAGTGACCCTTGTGGGGAGAAGCTGGGGGGCCCTGGGCAGACACTCGGCCTCTGCCACAGGTGGGCAGCGTGCTGGGAGACTGGATCCCCTCCTGGCCTGGCTCATCCCCTGCCTGCTCCCCCAGGCGTCTGGGAGTTGGGTGCCTAACTGCCAGTTAGAGTGTTTGCCGAGTCAGGTGGCCAGGTGGCCAGACAGGCCGGAGGCAGGGCTCAGGGCTGGAAGAGACTTGGAACACCAGCGTGGGGGAGTAGGGTCAGGGTGAATCGCCCACTGGGCAGCTGGGGGAGCTGGAGGGGGCTTTGGAGCCAGAACGCCTGGGGTCCGCAGGCGATCTTCGCGTGCCTCTGCGCTCTCTGAGCGGCACCCCCTTTCTTTGCAGTGGATGACAGGCCTTCCCCACGCCCGTGTGGAGCAGCCTGTGGGGTGTGGTGGGGCTCCGGTGCTGCCCTTCCACCCTGGCCTGGTCCTCACACCTGCCCCCTCTCCCCATCACCCACCCCCACTTCCTCCTGCCGGGTCCCTGGCCCCACCAAGTCACGGACCTCACTCGGTGCTGGTCACACCTGCAGCTGCCACCTGGGTCTATTCAGGGTGAGCTAAGCCCGGTGATTCCCTCCCACAGGGCCCCGCCCGCCTGGTACCCGAGCTGTCCTCGCCCCCCTCCACCGGCTACAGCCCCGCAGGACAGAAGCCCGAGGCTGTCGTGCACGCAATGAAGGTGAGGGCCAGGCCCGCTCCCTCAGGAGCCCGATCCCTGGTGCGATGCTGGGATGTGGGGCCTTGAACCCCACGTGTTTCCTCTCCGGGGGTGTCTGAGAAGCAGGGTGGGGCTGTCATCTCTGTGTGGGGACTGGGTGGCTGTGACTGCCTGGGACACTCTGGGGGAGGGGCTCAGAGATGCCTGGTACTCACCATCCCTGTAACTGGGGAAACTAAGGCGTGGGGGAGGGGAAGAGCTGGCCCTCCCTCAAGATTAGAGCCACAGGCAGGACTGGGGCTGGGTGGAACCAAAGCCTGGGCCTCCCGGGCCCAGCCGCTCCTCCAGGTGCAGCTGCCCCCTGCTCAGGGCCTCCAGGTGCAGGTCCTGAAGAAGCTCGTGTGTACGCCACGGCTGCCACGTGCCCACGTGCACCAGTGGGTGCCGTCCACGGCCCTCCTGCTCATTAATCACAAGCTGGACCCGGGGTAGGAGCGAGTCCACCTGTCCTAGGGTGGCCCCTGCTCCCAGGTGGCCCGTCCTCAGCTCTGCTCCCAGTGGTAACGTGGGAGTACTGCTTCCTATGTGGGGCGGGAGGAGAGGACACAGAGTGGGGAGGGATGATCTACCCCTCAGGCCTCTCCACGCCCTTGACCCTGGCCCTGCTCCCTGCAGGTCCTGGAGGTGCATGAGAACCTGGACCGGCAGCTCCAGGACAGCTGCGAGGAGGACTTGAGCGAGAAGGAGAAGGCCATTGTCCGGGAGATGTGCAACGTGAGGCGCCTCCCGGGCCGGAGGCCCCTGGGGGGCTGGGAGGGGGCGCTGGAGCCTGTCCCCCTTTCTCCCCACTGAGAATGGGATCTGTGTGTCTCTCCATTTGGGAATGTGCCTCTGCCCCCAGGACTGGTCTTGTTTACCCCTCATGTCCCGCCCCTCAGCCCCAGTCCCAGGTGTCTGGCTCCTGGCCTCCCAGCTGGGTGGTGGCCTGGTGACCGCTGGCCACACAGGTGGTGCTTAGACCAGAGGTGCAGGTCGCACCCCTGCTCCCTGTGGGCCTGCGGGGCTGGGGCTGCCTTTGCTTCCGGAAGCTGGGCCGCCTCTGGGTCTGCCCAGGAAGGAGAGCCTCACCCCGACCCACCTCACCAACACGTCCTCTCGGAGCCCTTGTAGGAGCCAGAGGGAAGGGTGGCTCACAGGGACTGAAGCAGGGCCTCCCATGGGGTGGGGTGTTCCGAAACCCCTTCCTATGCTGCCTTCTGAGTCCATGGGAGACCGAGCCCACAGCCCAGTGGTGACCTGCTCAGGATGGCAGGTGTGGCCATGAGGATGGACGTGCAAAGACCTGGTCTGAGCGTCTCTGCGCTTCATGTGGCCTGTTTCNGTGTGGCCACGAGGATGGACATGCAAAGACCTGGTCTGAGCGTCTCTGCGCTTCATGTGGCCTGTTTCTCCTCCTGGCCCCGTGGCTCTGGGGGGGTGTGCACGGGCCAGCGGGCGGGCTCGGGGTGGGTCCTGCGCTCACAGCTTGTGTCTCTCACAGGTGGTCTGGAGAAAGCTGGGAGACGCCGCCAGCTCCAAGCCCTCCATCCGGCAGCACCTGTCTGGGAACCAGTTCAAGGGGCCTTTGTAGGCCTTTCCTCCGTGGACATGGACTGACCCTGCCCGGGGCCCCCGAGGGGGAGCAGCAGGCCCTCTGGCCGAGCTGCTATCTTCTTCTGTGATGAATTGTACATAGGATGCTGCCTGCTGTGGCTCAGCGGCCGTGGTGCGCCCCCTGCTGGCCAGGCCTCCATCTCCCACATCTCACACCAGCAAACTGGGAAGGCGAGAAGCCGCCCGCTGCCCCCTGCAGCACAGGGGCCCCGACAGCCTCACCCTCACCCTGGGCCCAGGCTTCAGGCTCCCTGGGTGAGAGCGGAAGGCTGCTTTGAGACGCCCGGCCCAGGGGCCGTGCCAGGCTGTGCCCAGCACCTCATCAAGCCCTCCATCACCTGGCTGCCCGGGCACTGGACAAAGGCCCCTGGCAGCTGACTCAGCGCAGGGGCTCCACTTTCCATCCACCTGCTATGGCCTGAACGCTGGCTCCCCAAGCACCGAGTCCCGTGAGCCATGGACAGGGAGGCTCCTGAGGCCCTTCCTTCGGCCCGTGCCCAGTCCCTGCTGCCAGCTGCCGTTTGATTTTAGAGTTCACCCTTTCCCCCTTCATTGTCACCTTGCCCTGTGCTAGGTGTGCCCTATCTTTTTGGGACCAGTGCCTGAGGCATCTCTGTTTCCATGGTTCACGTGATGGGCCAGGAACACAGGAAGGCCGAGTGCAGAGTACCCGGGCTGAGCTGTACGTATCCCTCTCCAGATGGGTAGCACTGGGTCACATCTGGGCCCCTGGTCCACTGTAGTGTCTACCTGAGCCTGGCTCCATCCTCGGTCACTGCAGACAGAGCTGTGTGGCCGCAGTGACAGGAGTTCTGCCCTCCTTGAAAGGAGCCTGACTTGGCTCTGGCTTTAATTTGCTGCGTGACCTTCAGCAAGTCACTCAGTCTCTCTGGGCCCCTGGTGCAAAGTGAGGTCGCAGAGCTTCTCTTGGCTGTGCTCATGGCTGGAGGCTGTCGGCTGTAGTCAGTCTGTTCTCACGGCTCGCCAGCCAGTGGGGTCACCTGCTGGAGAAGCTGCTGGGGCCCGAGGCCCGAGCTGAGTTCTGCCTCATCCGGTGGACAGTCCCTCCCCTCTCTGAGCCTCAGTGTTCTCCGAGGTAGAATGGGAGCATGAGGGCCTCCTTGCAAGGGCTCTGGGGACCCAATGAGACCGTCAGTGTAGATGATCATGTATAAACTGTAAAGTGCAGTCTGTAAATTTTCCAATTGTGTGTGAGGAGAATGAGGCCCAGATGTGGTAGGCGGTTGGTGGTCGGTTATAGGTGAGACCCCAGAACCTGGAAGGTGGCCAGGGACAGGCCACCGTCACTGCTGTTGGCCCTGGCGTCCACTCCCTCCCTCCAGTTCCTGTCCGTCCTTGGCTTCCCTGCCCAGCAGCACTGAGGCGGCAGCGGCCTCACGCAGCCAGTACTTGAGCCGGAGGTCGTCTTTGCGTCAGGCAGGCCTTGTCCAGGCCCATGACGGATGGGGACCAGGACGGGGCAGTTCCCACTGTCCACTTGCCATTGGTGCCCTTGGGTGGTACACTCTCAGGGGAAAGCCCTCCTCTGCCCAGGGAGTGCCGAGTAGGTGCTGCCCTGGGCATTACAGGGAGCCGTGGGCTTTTCCTGGGAAGAACTTGCCATCAGATCTGGTGGGGGCTCCCTGTCACAGGGGTGCACACTTAGACTGGGAACACCCAGGTCACCGTGCTGGGTAAGTCCTGCCCAAGTGGGCAGTGAGCTGGGGTCAGAGGCCCCCTCTGGTCTTGGAGTCCAAAGAACCACAAGTAGCTGATGGGGGAGGGCCTGTTTTGGTGGGAGCCATGTCTGGGAGCCCATTTGCCATGTTTGGATCAGGTTGGCTTTGCCACGACTGGAAATAAGCAATAAGGAAGCCTCCTGGTACCTGCAGATCCTGCAAACTGACCCCGGGGACAGCCTCACAGGGACCTTCCCCTCTGGAGGGAGTGACATTATTTCTAGGCTGCAGAGGTGTCCAGGGATCAGGTGGAGGGATCTTGCCAGAGCCCGTCTGCCTGCCGTGGAGGCAGAATGAGCTGGGTGCAGAGACCCTCCTGCTCCTGTATTCCTGTGTCCCTGAGCCAGCACGGCTTGGGATGGCTTTCCAGGACAGAACTGTACCTGTGACAGTCATCTCCCTAACATAAGCTGTTAAAAAAAGCCAGCAGCAGCTCTGCTTGACCCCACACTGGGTCCAGTTCACAGTTGCAGGGGGAGCTCACAGGCTGCGGGTGCAGAGGGGCCAGCTCAGGGGAGTCCCAGCCCTGCCGCTAACAGGGAGTGTATGTAGGGTGATAGCGGGTGAGCCTCCGCCCCTTTCAATCCTCAGCTCTGAAAGCTCACGGACGGGGG